GCTAAGGAACCACGACGAAGAGAACATTATAGAACGCATCCATGCTTACACCTCGCCGCACCACCCTACGTCAAAACGAAGCCTCCATATCATTTCTCAAGTCACTACCATAGACGACAGACAGACATTCACCGTCCCAACCCTTATCGACTCTGGTTGCACCAACTCGGTTATCGATCGAAGCCTGGTTGACAAGTATACCCTCAATACTACGCCTCTGCCCGTCCCTCTTGACGCTGCAGGAGCCGATGGTCGATCCCAGAAAGTAACACACTATGTCACTCTTCACATCAATGTGAAAGGGAAAGAACATTTGATAGACGTCATCGTAGCATCTCTACTTTCACCACGCATACTGCTTGGATACGACTGGTTGATACTGACGAATCCAACAATTGATTGGCGGACCAACAAGATTACCTTCCCTGCTGATGATCCGGAGTATCATCCTGAAGAAGGGGATAAAGTTCTAGCCGTCGATCTTGAAACACGAATTATGGAGATAACACAGCTAGAATTGAACGCATTTGCCACTAAAAGTCAACAAATCGCCGAATCCTCCGAAAAGGCAAAGTCAAAGCTTACTTTCCGAGATGTCGTTCCTCCAATCTACCATGAATTCGAACCCGTTTTCACCAAAGAATCATTTGACAAACTTCCCCCGAAACGTCCTTGGGACCATGCAATTGAGTTAATACCAGAGGCTAATGGTCTTGACTGCAAAACGTACCCTCTTAGCCGAGACGAACAACACCATCTAGACGAATTCCTTAACGAAAATCTAACAAGTGGACGGATTCGAGTATCCAAATCACCTTACGCATCACCATTCTTCTTTATCAAAAAGAAAGATGGCTCACTACGCCCTGTCCAAGATTATCGCAAGCTGAATGAGCTTACCATAAAGAATCGCTACACCCTCCCCCTCATATCCGAACTCATCGATAAACTCAAAGGTGCCAATTACTTCACGAAACTAGACGTACGATGGGGATACAACAACGTCCGAATCCAAGAAGGAGACGAACACAAAGCCGCTTTCAGGACCAATCGCGGCCTGTTCGAACCCCTCGTCATGTTTTTCGGACTTACCAACTCGCCAGCAACCTTCCAGACCATGATGGACCACCTCCTAAGAGAACTGATCACGGAAGGAAAAGTTATTGTATATTTAGACGATATTATGATCTTCACGGAAACACTCGAAGAACATCGTCAAATAGTCACCAAAGTCCTCCATATCCTGCAACAAAATCAGTTGTATCTTAAACCAGAAAAGTGCGAATTCGAGAAACAGGAAGTCGAGTATTTAGGCATGATCATCTCCAAAGACACTATCCGTATGGACCCGTTAAAAGTCGCAGCGGTCGCTGACTGGCCCGCACCAAAGAATAAAAGAGAACTCCAATCATTCTTAGGGTTCTCCAATTTCTATCGACGATTTGTCAAAGACTACGGACGAATTGCGAAACCACTCACTGTGCTCACCGGAAAAGTTGACTGGACCTGGAAAGACGAACAAGAAACGTCCTTTGAAACATTGAAGAAAACGCTCACTACTGACCCCACCCTTGCTATACCAAACGACGACGACCCATTCAAACTAGAGACCGACGCCTCTGACTTCGCTGTAGGAGCCGTCCTATCCCAGAAACAAAACGACAAATTCAGACCCATAGCATTCCTCTCGAAAGCCCTTACCCCTGCAGAACGGAACTATGAAATTTACGACAAAGAGATGCTCGCAGTCATGACGGCGTTAGATGAATGGCGACATCACCTTGTAGGATCGAAACACCCCTTCACCATCTTCACAGATCACCAAAACCTCCTCTACTTCCGTCAACCTCAGAAATACAATCGACGCCAAGCTCGATGGTCATCCCAGCTTGCAGATTATAATTTTAAGATGGAACACGTCAAAGGAAATCAGAATACGAAGGCCGACCTGTTAAGCAGACGGATCGATCATCCTAAAGGCACAAACGATAACGAAGATCAGATACTTCTCCCAGACGTACATTTCGAATTATTTGACACCAACGAAGGATACCTACCAGATATACGTCAAAGCTTCCAGAAACAAGACGAAGTAGTAAAGAAGAACTTGAAAGAGAAGCCGGATACCTGGAAGATGAAGGATAGGATCGTCTGGATCAAGAGAGAGTCCGCGACGAGTTCCTACCCGATCCCTTTAGCTGACCGAGTATACGTTCCCCGAAATCACGAACTAAGGGCGCGAATATTGAAAGATCATCACGACGAAGCCCTAGCCGGGCACCCAGGAGAAAGAACGATGTTTGAACGAGTAAACCGAGAGCTCTGGTGGCCAAGTCTTCGTACAGATATCAGACGGTATGTACAAGGATGCGAGAGTTGTCAACGCACCAAGGCACATCGGACAAAGACTAACGCCCCTCTACACCCGAACCCGATACCAGATCGGCCTTGGCAGGTTATCACCACCGATCTCATAGGCGCATTACCGGAATCCAAGGGCTACACCGCCGTTCAGGTCTTTGTTGACCGATTTAGTAAAATGGCCCATTTCGTCCCCACCTTCGTCACTCTCGACTCGGCCGGTTATGCACGTCAACTCCGAGATAATGTAATACGACTCCACGGAATTCCTGAAAAGATCGTCTCCGATCGAGGTCCTCAATTCATGTCTCGATTCACAAAAGACTTCTACGACCTAATGGGGATAGCACCAGGCCTCTCTACAGGCTATCACCCTCAAACAGACGGACAATCCGAACGGATCAACCAGGATCTAGAGCACTACCTCCGCGTTTTTATAAATCATCGACAAGATGACTGGGCAGACTGGCTCTCCATTGCTGAGTTTACATACAACAACCACCTCCATACCGCAACGAATCAAACACCCTTCTTTTTGAACTATGGGTTACACCCAAGAACAAATATCACCACCACGTTGTCCCCTCGCTCCGCTTCTGCAGCAGAATTTAGCGAACAAATGAAAAAACTCCATGATATCACGAAATCCTCCCTTCTTGTAGCAAACGAGAATCTGAAGAAGTATTACGACCGTAAGAAATCCCCCTCCCGGGAGTACCAAGCTGGCGACAAAGTCTGGTTAGAAGGGCATAATATCACAACGGATAGACCAATGAAGAAATTAGATGATAAACGCTTCGGACCTTTCAAAGTCACCCAAAAGGTCGGACCTTCCGCATATCAACTCGACATCCCTAAAAGTTGGAAGTCCATTCACCCCATATTCAACGAAGCCATCCTCTCACCATACCACCCTCCCGAATTCCTCAATCAACCAATTTCCTCGCGGCCACCACCCGAGATTGTGGAAGGAATAGACGAATACGAAGTAGAGAGTATAATCGCTTCCAGACCGACTAAACTGAAAGGTAGTAAGCTCGACTACCTAATTCACTGGCATGGTTATCCAGTCTCCGAACGCACTTGGGAACCCGACACCAATCTTACGCATGTCGCTGATTTACTCGCCACCTTCCACAAAACAAATCCCGCCGCCCCTCGTATTATTACCGCTTCTCTTCATTTCCGTCCTTACGAAAACTACACCGCCACTTCTAAACCGCCGATGCTTTTTGATTGGATTAGTAACAAGTTCCAAAGTGCCGCATCCGGACTCATGAGGACACGAGTCTTATAAAAGGGGAGCTAATGTGAGGAATCGATTTTTCTTATCGCATTCCCGTCATGTCGTGGTTAGCAGATTCGATCCCCATCACTCCTCTTGCCCTTGGACTAGAGATTACAGCTGGTGTCTTATTACTTTTATCATTTTTCTTCTTATTCTCTCTTCACACTCACGTTCTATCGTACCTACAACGAGGTAGACTCGTTGTCGACCCTCAAGAAGATATCCAGATGACATAGCCACGATTCAGTGCTATGTCTGGGAATACTTCGGAGGAATATTGATAAGCGAAGAAGGTAGTGAATCAGCGCCTTCTCATGGGCTTACTGATACAGCCAATCGCATATCCCTTACCAATACGTTTTCTGATACGATTAGTAAACACGATAGATCGGACCACTTCCTCCCTTTTTTCTTATTGGTTAGTTAGCTGGTCAGACCACTTTCTCAGTAGTTCCCTTTCTCGGTCTGACCATCGCCGTTCACTATATAGAGAAGTATATACTCAATGTATTGTTCTCTAGTTCAATATTAGTTTGGATTTGCGCTCTTACCGATACTCTTCATTCTCATACTCTGATTCACCGCCTTCAAGGAAGGACTTGACCAGACATTGAGCTTTGTTATATAGCTTCGTATTTGTTGCCTGACAGACATAGCAGGAGTGTGATTAGAAAAATCAATTCCTCAAATCTTTCACATGGTGGGGCTTGTCACAATGGCTGTGCCCTATGACATCATCAGCCACCACTGATCTATCAACTGTACATACATGTACAAATACATTGTAGTAGTATAGATGCCCCAATAGATCAAGGAGACTCCTCAGTGAGTCCTCCTGTTGTCTACCAACAACTAACTTGGTCCTACTCTAGGGGATTTTACCCATTCCTTCATCTACACTCTCTGCTTGTGTTAGTTGTGTGCAAGAGTACAAAAACTTTAGTTGTTACAAGTAGTGAATCTGTATTCCCGTTAACTACGACCTTCTCTACTTCATAGCTCGCGACGGCACCAGCATGGGTCACATAAACATCGTGTGTTGCCTTACACAAATATGCTTGGGAAACATCAGTATCATCTACTCCACTTATACTTATATATCATCTGACACTGTAGTTAAGTGACCAATTGCGAACAGCAAAGTGATGGCACAGAAGAGCCCTCAACATCTTCGTCTGGACCTGGTGAAAGCCAGGTTTATACGGCTTCCATTGGATGAGCTACTGGTCGGCCTACAAAAGTAAAACCCATGTAGTTAACTACCATCACACAATAGTTAGCATCCAGGTCTGCATTACCGTCTAAGATGTGTAACGTAGGGTATATGTATAACACGACAGTCTCTCGGATATTACGATTTCGCTCCGGCTGCGTTCTTCTTTTGCTCCTTGAGCTTCTCGATACGCTATAGGCGGAGATATCAATTAGTGAACATACCAATTACAAGAATAATGATGGACGATATCACACCTGTCTCCTTTCTTCCTTTCTGCGCGCCATCTCTGCGGCTTTCTCCTCCTTAGTCATGCTTGCCAAACTCACTGTGATGTTCTTTTTGTCGATATCCGGGTCTGGAGGTGGTGGTGACGATACTGGAGTAGACCGTATGCTCGACACAGGGGAGGCACTCGTAAGTCTGGCAAGTGGGGTGGAAGCTTTACGAGGTTGCGTAGAGAGGGAAGAGAAGCTCGGTCGAGATGGAGAACTCCATGGGTTAGCATAGCTATCGGTAGTAGTAGACAGAGACTCCATTTCTCCCCATGGATTATCAGCTGGAATCTATCGAGTCAAAGCTTACAAACAACCAAAGCAAAGGAACTTACAGTTCTCTTGAACAGTATGTCCGTTCTCTAATGAGATTCCAAGCCCCAAACCGACAGCCGAAATGGGTTTGGGCTCGATGACAGTTGGTAAGACCGCTGGTGCACTCTCAAACGCGCCTTCAGAGATAGTTCATGGTCAGCAAATCTGAAAGAGCGTTACTGGTTTGAAAGAAAGAGTAGAACACTCACTCCAATCATCCTCGTCGGCGTTGATATCTATCAAATCTTCACTAGTCCATGGATAGCTCCCACCCTCTTCGGTAGCAGCCTCCTCAGCAAGTTGTGCAGCCAGGGCTGCAGAAGCCACGCTCGCAGGAACCTTGTTTGCACCGAGCTGAAGCCCCCGAGCCTTGGGCCCTTGGCTGACGGGGAATGCAGGCGAAGAGACTGTTGAATTTGCGGCGGATACGGCAGAAGGTACGGAGAGGAGCTGATTTGGACGCACTGAGGAGCCAGTGTTGGCGAGAGGAGGTGGTGCGGAAGTTGGCCGCTCGAGGGTATTGATTGCAGGAGAACCCATCGAAGTCTGCATATCTGCTGGTGCAAGCTGCGGGAAAAACTAGTGAGAAAGCTATACATGACGTACACTGTTAGAAAATACCTTTTTCCCAATCGATGATATAGCCCAACCTGCAAGCGCTCCTGCAGCGCCAGTAGCTGAGTTGACGATAGCAGTTTGGCTATAACCACCTGGCACTACGGGCTCCAGAGAGCCATCTTCGGTTTGAGCTGTTTCGGGCTGACAAGAAGTCTGAAGATACGTAATTTGCGACAAGAAGGTATACGTACCATGGAGGCAGCGTGCGCCTCAAGCTTCTTTACAAACAAGTCGATGGCTTTGAATGCTTGATCGCGAACTAGCCTGGAGCAAAATTGATATCAGTATACCTAATCAAATTTTTAGAAAGACTGGGGACACCTACTTTTCTTTATCTAGCATAGTAGATGAAATACCGGGAATGACTTTGCCAGCCATATCTTCTACATCAAAACAGTCAATCGTGGCCATAAATGCCATCAGCCCAGCCACGCGTGCATGGACGAACGGGTCCTTAAGAGCGCGAGAAAAGGCAGGGACAAGGACTTTGCGTTTAGTGTTGTACCCCAGAGTAGGACCTAATCGCCCGATAAGAATGCAGGTATTCGTTCGAATTGAAGGTTCAATGTCATTTTGCATTTTGGCCAGGTGTCGTAATAGGTCGTTATTCAGTATTCGGTCGTTGAGCTGAGCATGAGGGTAAGATAGTAATAGTTTTCCTGCCAACATCTAAGCTAACCTTGAGCGAGAGGAGGACGACAGCTCTAACGGTGGCTTCCCTTATCACAGCGACGGTATCTGTGAATCCCGTTTGCTGACATAAATACTTAGCACGATAACAAAAGGGAGTGTACGCCTCGCATACCAAGTGAGGCCAGATCTTGTCTACGACTACCTTTTTGTCTAGCTTTTCAGCGTACTCAGGAAGGTGGTCTAGCAATGCCATACGAGTACCGCGATCTGGACTGGCGTATAACTTTATCAAGGGAGCGAGAATGACACTAGAATAATCTTCTGGAGAGACATTTTTCCCGAATTGTAGCACCAGAGGAAGAATCGTTGCTGCTGATGCACCCCCATACTCCAGCGCAGATATAAGCGATGGTAGCACGCGAAATGATGCAAACTCCGGAGGGAAAGACGACGCCGATTCTTTGAGAGTCCTGATGAGCTTGAATGAGCGGCCACCCGAGAATCCTGTACGCTCGGTTATGAGGTAGAAATGCCACGACACTCACCGAAGCAAACTTGTTTTTTCTGCCTCACTTCCGAGGCTGAAATTATCCAAACCAGTACATACCTTCACCAGCCGGTTGTTGGAGAAGAAACCGGAGCCTTCTCCTGCGGTCTCGGCCATACCGATATCCAGAAACAATTTGGGAGACATACGTGCCTTTGGATTCGGATTAAGCAACTTCTTGAAGGATGGGAATAGAGCGACAGGAATCGCTCCTCTGGTAGATGGTTGGGGGGGAGGGTGTGGTGGCTGAGCTGTCGCGGGAGGGGGATGTGTTGGGTTAAAGACCGAGTGAAGCAGTAGACCAAGTGAATATGCGTCGGCGGGGGCAACATCCTGCCTGAGCAAAAGCTGAGCGTATGAAATATAAAAAGACATAAACATTTACTCTTTCAAGTTGTGCCAACCGCTCTTCTTGACTTCTGGAGGAGCGTAAGACATTGCATCGGGCAAAAGGCCACCCATAGTCTAGCGATAGGTGAGAGGCGGACGCGTATGTAACATGGTAATGGGAACAAACATATATAACAGCCATATCATCCTTCGGACTACTTAGCACTTCAAATCCTCCCAGCTTCCATTCCCCGGAAGGTGATATGAAGATCGAGTTGGTCCGAACGTTGCCATGAGTAGACGAACATGATTCGTTGACGAAAGCCAAGGCTACCTAAAGAGACATGATGGGTGAGAGTAGATGGTAGGAACTTTGGGATGCCAGCAAACCGATATTCGATGCAGACCCCATAGCAGCCAATCTTCCCGCTCCTCTGCACTTTTGGTGGACCAGGATTTCAAAGCCAGCGGGAGCGGTCGCACACGTTCCGTCATGATATAGATGACCGTATCAGTTTCGACAACGTCCATAAACTTGAGGACATCAGGGTGACGTATTGTGCGCAGTTTGCGCAGGGCATTTCGAGCAAGAGGAATCGTAGGCTTGTTCAAGGGATGATTGAAATCATACTCAAAAACCGATACGGGGCTTCCATCATCCTATGGCTGTTGTTAACGATTTGTGCAGGGAACGCGAGATTTTATTGCCGTACCCTTTTAGTAGCATCATATAGATTCCAGAAAGTCTCGAACGACGTGACTTTCTGCCCCAAGGAGAACGGAAGGTTAATACCGGACTTTTGAACCAAAGATGAAACAGCTGCAGAACCCAAGTTCCTGAGATAGTCCATAGCAAGATATGAATTTGGGCTTGTATGTGGACTTTATTTAAGAAAGGCGTATATAGCCAGGGACACGTCTGCAAAGCAGACTGTGCCGCAGTTCAAAGTAAAGTTGTACGTGGTAGTGATATTGGCTCGGACGTTACGCCAGAGTGCAATAGCCACCGACAACCATGTGGCGTCAATAATGGGACCGCCCTTTCGTTTTACTTTCAACTTGCGTTCTTGCCGTTTGCTCTTGTCCTTTGCTTTGTGTTTCAGGTTTGCGTGAAGGCAAGGGAAGTTAATGCAAAGCTGCAGTATTTTCTGCAACTGAGAAGGTGGAGAGTGCTCTCTCATGGATCACGCAAGGAACGGAGCAAATGGCGTCGTGGAGCTAGATACCCGAATACAAAACCCTCCTTCACCTCTGGCTAATGGATTCCACGTAAATGGCGTACACGAACACACTCCAGAAGAACTCGAACGAGAACTCCCTGTCGTTTACGATGGCCAGGTGGCTCTTGGAGAGGTTTTATCGAGAGTCGTGCAGGCTATCTATGCAGAACTTTCAGAGTTGGCTGAAACGTGAGTATTCGTAGTTTCAATTGCGTCTTGCACAGTTGCATCCTCATGTTTCGTCTTCAGCCTCCCAAATATGTCTGATACCGCACGAAAGCGTACATTGGCAGACTGGGTAGTCAAGACGAAGAAACAGGTCGTCAAGCTCTACGCAATAACTAAGTGGGCCCGAGACGCTCAAACTGTACAGAAATGCATGGTACTTTCTGACACACTTTCTAGTTTACAGATTGACCAACCTACTATTCTCAGAATATTACAGCTTTTCTAATGAATCAAAACCAGCAGTTTGAGGACGTCATGAGAGGCTTAACCTATGCTAAAGAAAGTTTAGATCCAGCAAGGTTTGTCCCAAATAGTGCTGTATATTACAGTGCAACCAATGTGCCCTTGTGCGCCCAGGCTTCGCAACCACGATTTACTCACTTCATTGGATGTTCTGACGACTGGCTCATATCGGAGACTTCCGTCTGTAATCAAGGTCTTTCAATGCTTATTTTCTTGTTAATGCTGGAATGGGACTTATGGATACCTCATGCAGAAACTGATCGTCCCTCCAACACCATTGATGGATGCAGAAGTTGCGAAGACACTGACGGACATGGAAGACGCAATTCGTCTACGCTTGCGCATGCATGAGATAATACCCGTTGAAATGTCTCAGCATCGTATCGGTACTTTCCCTTTTGTTTGAGTTACAAGGCTTGTGTTAAATAGTTATTTGCGCTATAGCTGATGGACGAGCTCATTTCACCGTTCCTAAACTCTTCGAAGTTTCACTTTGCCTTCGCGGTGCCGAAAGGAACGATGGGTGGTTCTTTGTCGGCGTGAAGTTCCTCATCACGGTAGGAGGAGACCTTACAGGCATGCAAGGTAGGTAAACCCACTAATTGTTTTGGCTGATGGAGCTTATTCCTCTTTTCACTCAGAATTTCCCCAGATGCCTACAGGCATGTTGAAGCGTCATATAGCTGATGAAGCTGATGCACGACTAGCCTATTATATTCCTCTTCCCCAAGAGGAAGAGCCTGTTCCTGGCGTCGAAGTTCCTCCAAGACCTCAACTACCAGAAGGCACGGCCGATGCACCCCTAGTTCGCGTCTTCAACTTCCTCCGTGAGTCATCTCTCCTGACGTATCTACATCTGTACTCGTACTTAGATAAATTACAGAGGTAATGTCGCTATCGTATCAACTAGAGATATTATGGTACCAGGTAAAATCATATTTGTGCACTGTTTCATGCGAGGAGCTGCTGATTATGTCCAGGCCCAAAGGATGCGCTCTCTCGGCTGGGCAGACTATCTGAAGGTTGAGATGAGTAATGGTCGTAAGACGCTTACAGTTTCATATTGGGTGTAAGTCTCGGCCTCTGGCCAAAGCGCTCATTCTGACCAACTTTATCCAGCCGCCAACTACCACCAAGCATTCCAGGTCGCCCTCAGCCTCCAAATCGTTCCAAACTACCTCTCACGGGCGGTACACTTACAATATCCATAGTTGAGTCTCGAGCTCCACCTCAAGTCGGTGGTGGTCCTATACGCTCTCCCATAGCACGAGTGTTGGCTGAATTGCAGCAAAAGTCAAAACTCGGGAACCTACGGCCGTCAGATGAAGCCGAAGGATTGAAATTCCAGGTTGTTTGGGAACCAATCAAAGGTGCCTTCGGGGTGGTGATAGCTGCTGTAGATGCAGTGATGGCAAATGATCTGTTGGTGGTAGTCAGTATTTTCTTCTCTACATAAGCTTCTTTAAGGTCGAAGCTCATGATGGTTTTTTTCAGAATCCGTACAACCTTGACTTCGAGTCGTTGCTACGAAAGGTCATAAAACAGCATACTAAAGCTATTCTCAATGTCTTCCAAACACAGCTTCAACGTGGCCCAACGAGAACGGTTTTCTCACCTCCCGGAGAAGTAGTGTTAACAGAAGAAGGTTTGTGCCGCCCCGCCTTTAGTCGGTCAGAAAATAACTATTATTTGTCTCAGGTGGCTCATACGCCCTTCGTATTCATCTTTGCGCGGACGAAGTTGTTGTCATCTCCATTGATACAAGAACCGGGCGACTAAATTTACGAGATACGGGCGACCTTGCAGCTGCAGGTCGTGGTCCACGCTTTACCGCCATATCCGAAAGACTTAATCAAGACCCTTCTCTACTGTTGGACGCTCTTGTCAGGCTTCGATTGAATGTAAGCCGCAGCGTTCTTTGTATTTTAGGGAAGGATACTCATCACATCTCACAGACTATTACAGATCTGGCGGAACAAAAAGCCAACTACCTCGGTCTGCATAGTTACCGTCAACGCAATTTTTCCAGGGAAGGTGAGTCATTTGCAAATCTCAAGCCTTAAGTAGATTACATATCTTTCCCTCTATGCAGAACTTCACAAACTTGGACCCAGCGCACGGGGCATGTTGTACATCCAGCTATCAAACTTTCCCAACCACTATCTTGTCCTGGTTATCACTGACGAAGAGTTCCGCTATGCGCTCATTTCAGTCAGAGTCCTTACCGACACGATGTATGCCAACCTGATAATGGAAGACATCGCGTGGCTGGACGTTCAAAGGATACGCGGGGATAACAACGCCATATTCGATATAACTGGCGGATTATCAGCACCAATGGACGGGTCGGAGCTGCAGATGGGACACAAAAGAAAAAGGAATGCTGAAGATGATATCGTGAAAGAAGAAAAGGGAAAGGAGAGACGTGAGGGAAGGTATGCATACCGTATATTCACCTTGTTTTTTCCAAATAACGATCGTAATTCCCGCGAAGCTTCAACCTAGAGACACAGGTCTTACGCGAGCTGTATGCCTATTGCTGGTAAGTACCACCCAAAAATATCTGTGCCAATTCATTCAAACCATACGAATAGCGCTCGCGTGGCATATACTAAGGTCGAACAACAATTCAAGATTCGGGGTATCCCTTATTCTCATGTCAATCCGACTAGCGGATACCCTCTCCCAAGCGAACTCAGTCAAATACAATCTTCTCTTGCACGATCTGTTCCCGCTTTATGTGTGCAATCATCCGATATACTATCAGGGGCGCCGGCTGCAGAGGCTGCCATGCCCAATATCCGGGTCATTCCTCTAAATTGGTGGTCTAACAAGAAGGTCCAGGTTGTGACATGCGTGAAACTCAAGTATGTTCAACAACCTGTGGGGAGACGTGCCAATGGGGGTAGTAGCATCATCCGTCCGTCAAAACGCATTATATACGATACAACAGAAGCGGTAGTATCATTTCTGTCGGAGGAGGTTGATATGTGCGTGGATGAGTTCTTGGAAGAATGGGCCCGTGTATCAAAGATGGTAGTAATTGCACGAGAAGGTATGTGTAAACATAGTGCGTACTTACTGATACTAACTATGTGCTCTGCAGTCGCACAGATGGCCGAAGACGGGAAATGGCCAGATGTACGGCTCCTATCGTTTGACCTACAAACTGTCGAATTCGCTTATGCGCATGTAAGCTTACCTGTAAAGCTGACTTGGCCATTTTAACTTACACGGTGTCACATCAGGACTACACGGTCTCCATACGATGTATGGACCAACTCTCACCAACTGGCGGTTCATTCGACCTCCGCTTTTCTCGATGTCCCCCTTCCGACCCTCAAGCGCGTGCTACATCTCCACCACCATTTCAGGATCGAAAGAACCCACACGAAGATGTAGAGCCGTTTCTACAACAAATTTTACGACATGGCCCCCTAACGTCTTCTCTCCATCGCCTAGTGGAGCTTTTACGGGATACGTTACCCATAGTCGTCGAGATCGAACGCATGCGCCTTGAACCTGGTAGTAGTAGTAGCATGAGCCCTAACCGTGGAAGGGGCAAGGGCAAGGGCAAAGCAGTAGTTGGATGGGAGAATGAACCCTGGGTAGAAACATTTGTGAAAGGCCTAGGGTGGTACAGGGTGCTTTACGGCGACTTGAGGTACGTCCAAATTTAACAGATCAGTAGCCTATCCCCAACCGTTCCTGATCATTTTGGACAGACACGCTCTTGACTTCCGGTTAATGAATAATCAGCGGGTTGCCATCATAGATGGATCACATTCACTTTTTGGTAGTGATGTATCCGGCTCAGCATCTGTTTCTTCGACGTCTTCACCGGATTTGCTTGGGCTGCAGGCAATACCCGACTTACCTTCACTCATCCAAGCAGCGGTACATTCTGTCCGGAGTGCAAGCGGGGGACTATCATTAGGAAAGATCGCGCCTATAGACGTCGGTATAGTGTGTAACACTGGTGCTGTTGGAGCTGTAGCACGCGCACTGCATGAGCGCATACTCAAGAAGCTTCAGGGAGAGTATAGTTGAGTATTTTTGTGGATAACTGTAGATACATCAATCTATGCTACTTTGTCCATATGATGAGAGAAGTGTGGGGTTTTTTTTTTTTCAGTTCAGGAGTGGACTGATTCCTGCGACACTCCAAGCATTAGCTGTGTAAATCGATTATAACAGTCCGCTGGCTTGGGCGCTGTGTTGGGGTACTATTTAGCAGGAGTAAACTATTTAACCAACAAAGGACTTCAATTAGACCGCGCCGATGATACCTTGCATATACAATAATCGATGGCTACCTCAGTCAGGGTGTTACTCCACCCTCTAGGAGTCGTCGCAACCACGAAAAAGTCGGATTGAATAGATAAAGTTACGTTGCATCCAACAAACGTATCCACTCCATAGTCACCCAATGTTCCCTATCTTCCACTGGAGACCGAGCGATTGGTGAATATGTCGCCAGCACTCGATTGGGGTGCAATGGTGTCTGGAGCATCACTCGAGGCCAATAGAATCTCTTATCAGGCACAACGCGAAGCCTTTGCCCTGTCTCTGTATGATTAGCTAGTGCCGTTGCAACGTTCTCGGGCATCTTGCTTGCATCGAAACGTAGCGAAAAACGGCAATCATACAACATGTCAAGGAATGGCTCCTTGGCCGTCCCAGCACTAACCTGCTCCAGGAGCTCGAAGAGAGGAAGGGTGATATCGACATTCAGCTGCGGAGGGAGGACATCGATACTCTCCCGAAACGCCTGGATAGGAACTGCCGGCAGCCTCGATGCTAGCCATGCAAACCTGTCACCGGGTTTCATGAGATACGTTTGGGTACGGTTCCCGATCTTTTTCAGTCTTCCGTCCGGTGCCAAAATCGTAGGTGACCATAGCACGCCGCCGCCTGCGGTAAAGGACGCTGGTCTTGTATTCGAAGGTTGTCGTGACCAGATAACGTTGATGATACGCTCGATACTGCTCCTGCGGCGATTCCCGTCAGCTCGGATGGAGCCCCATGGGTGGAATGAGACGTAGCGCATGATGCGAAGGACCATGGCACGTTGAATGGCGTTATCGGTGATGCTTGACAGGTTGTGAGTCGAGAGGAGAAACGTGCTTATAGGAGACTGGAGGGATTGTTGTTTTAGGTGAGTAGTAGCTGCGTTTCACAGTTAATGTGAGTAAATTATATACGGGAATGCCGTGAAAAAGTGGACCTTGATGGTCGATATCTTCCACATGCGAGGAAAGGTACTTGACAGCACCTCGCAGTTGTTCTTTTCCTCCTGATATATCCAAGATGGTTGTCTGGAAATTCGCGGACGCACTCTTTACTTTCTGCAGAGCCTCCTTAAATTCTGGTGGCATTTCTTGAGGGGCTTGGTCAAGTTCTAGCTACATATTTGGATTGGGCTTTGAGTGCATGGAGATGCAGAAGATACATACCTTTGTATCCTTTCCTGTAGCTTCTTCTTCTGCAAGCATACGCCGAATGGCGTTGCGAAGAGTGATTTCAGGCTGAAAATTGGTTTGGTCTGTAACATACTCTAACCCATGTTCATGGCAAGTGGCCAATATTCTATCCTACCTATATATTAGGTGCATGTCGGGTATAGCAAGCGTCACACTCACCTTTCGAACTTCTAGCAATGGCCTTACGATCCACCTGTTCATCCCTTCCAGCCCAGCCCAACCCAGCTCGCCTTCTTCCGCACCTATACCCATACCCCACCGCCGACAACGTCGCATGCCCGCAGCGCCAACCTCTGTCGTCCCACGAGCAAGACGCATGAGTGATGTCTCGACCTGATCGTCGGCGTGATGACCAAACGCGAGGACGTTTGCCCCGGTACGGGTCATGGCTTGGAAAAGGACGTGAAACCTGGCGTCGCGCGCTGTTTCTTCAAAGGCTGCGAGCGGTTTGGGGGGAAAGGGCGATGTTGACCACGGAATGGGTAGGGAGTGGTGCTTGACGCCTAGAGATGCAGCGGTGTTGGCGGAGTGTGCGGCCATGGTAGCGGAAGCCTCCTGGAGGCCATGGTCGACGGTTAACGAGACGACGGACGGAGGGAGTTTGGCAGAGTCACGGCTGGATTTGCGTTCGTTGAGAAGACGGTTGATAAGGAAAAGTAAACATGTCGAATCTGGGCCTCCAGAGTTTCCTACGGCTGATAGAAATATCTTTAGATGGGTTGTATAGAATCAAGGAAAAGACACACCGATTTGAAGCTTGGGATTCCACCCCGAAGGAGGCGAACATTTTGTGAACATCTGCCAGAATTCATTGCTGCTTATTGGGAGGGCAGCTTTTGGAGAAATAAATGTCATTAAGAGTTATGAACAGTACCCGAGTCGCTGTGGGCGGGCAATAGCAATGCTAGCTCCATTACGGCTTCAAGATATAGTTTCTTCACCAAAAATACGGATTCACTTATATCAACTAGCTATAGTACATACAGATAATAAACGTTACAGATAGTGCCCGCATTTGAGACAGCATACTATCGTACGTGGACAAAAGACATTTGAATTCTTCTAGAATACTTCCATTCACAGGATATCTGCGAGTAACTTGTCGACGTTGCCGTAGATAATGCAACCTACCTTCACGATAGAAACAGAGTCGGATAGACACAGTGAGGCTACCTACCAGGTACAGACGTTTGTGCCTTTAAATTTGCTTTTTTCACGAGGTGGGAAGGTATAACGATCAGGGCATCATCCAAACACCATTTTTGACATTGAACCCATTCTTTCTACCGCCCAGTAAAAGAGCTCCATGATTGTGTCCCTTGGGCGGAATAAGTGAAACATGCTCTCGACATAGTTGGTCCCAGGTGAAAGAAAAGCAAGCGTACCGAAGGGAATAATATGTCACGTGACGAGACGCGTCGCGAACCTTTTCTTTTCCTTCAGTAGGACACTGGCTGAGAAGCGGGATTCAGAGCGAGATAGCGCAGAGGACGACAGAGGAGATAAAGGTAGGGCCAGGGATCTAGCTGGCACAAGAATGCGTTGGAAGGATTAGAACCAAATGGTATGTGATGAGTTGCACGTACTGACGAGTGCCCTAACTGTAGTCCATACTAGGAGCATGAAAACCAGCCAGTTTGAAAGTCATTGTGGTGGTGCCAATATCGACAAAACGACTAAGAATAAAGGAGACACTCCTGGTCGGTCCTTGCTGGAAAGAGCGGGCGACACTCGTGCCCATCTGGACGTTACTGTTATTTGTACGTATTTAATTGTCTGGCTATCTCTATATGTCCGAGTTTGTCACTGTGGCCAGCAGGAATCAATCGATTTCGCGATGGATGCTACAAATGACAAGCCTCAACTAGTCTCTAAGGAGGAGGAGGAGGAGGAGGAGGCCTACTACCATCGTACCCAGGATGCGCAACTCCTTGAAGTTATTGGAGATTTTGGTCCTTCCAAAAAGTCCATCTACAGTCTAAGCCTTGCTCTCAGTTACCTTGTGTACAATGCCAGGGGCAGGCTCAACCCCAAATTCCACCATCTCGACATCGCAAGAGATCTGCTAGAAAATGACCCAGAGTTGAAGATCACGTTGGAAGAAGCGTGGATGAAGAAAGAGTTCAAGGATGTAAGGAATCAAAGTAAGTTTATTCCATGCCCGCTTGCTTCGCCGATCTAGCAACTTTCCTCCCAGATATATTACGCCTTCCAACGAAAGGGAAATCTCAGTTTCACGATGATACGCATAAGTACATGTCATTTGGTAAGCTACACTTGGTGCTTCAAACATTCACAGTGTCTCACAAATGCTGCTGGATTGGTAGACAATAGTAGGTACTTACCACGTCTCTGCTACATATCATGTCACTTGTGTTTCTATCACCAGTGGTCAAGTCGGCTTGGAATAGGGAATATACGGGAGGAATGCACAGACTTCTCCTCGACAATATCAATGCCATGACTCAACATCGTGATTACGCTGGCTTTGCAGCGATTGTCCAGAGTTCGGGCACTGGGAAGTCGAGGATGGTCCACGAACAGGCTAAGCTCGTATTCACTCTCCCTTTCAATTTGCGCAATGAGGGATACGACGAGTTGTTCGGTAATGTTTTATTTATGATATGTAGATGGATCTACTGATTATAATCCTGTGCTTAGTTACCCCCTATCCTGAGCCCGACAACAATGTCCGCCAATTCCTCATCGGTTTCCAAGATGATTCAAACGCCAGGAATAACATAATCGTTTTTCTAGGCAAAATATATGAGTTGGCCGCCAAACGACTTGGTTCGTTGCTGAACGGTGGCCGAATGAAGCGCCAAGAAATTGCAGAGTGTTGGCACGACTACCTTCAGGTTGAAGGAGTGCGTTCAACATTTTATCAAGATGCTATTGACGCTACCAAGGAATCCCTGGGCTCGGTGTGTTTCTTCGCTCACTCAGATGCCAGTTCTTTGAATTAAATACCTGATATTGGTGATGATATCCTCCTACAAGAATGGTATGGGGGGTGGCACGCAAGTAACGATGAACATGTTTACTGAACTGCTCAAAACCATCACGGAACACACAACCGATGAAGCTCCAGATGATAATCACGTGAAGGTTATACTGTACTTTGATGATGCCCACAGATTAATACCTTCATCTGATAGGTGGCAGCCAGAGATAAATGTCCTTGAAGCACTACAGTCATGTCTGGTTAGCACGTATACAAGGCAACTTTTTGTCTTGTTCTTGTCGACAGTGTCCCAGCTCGGTGAATTTGCACCTATCTTACGCTTGCCCAGTTCTGCACGTACTCGAGGGCCAGGTGTGCTCCAGGCACCGATAACAGAGCTGCCGTTTGACTGTTCTCCGAACTTGCCAATCTATCCTTACCTTTACAAGTTAGACGATCTTTCAAAAGATAGGTTTATGGCTCAATTCGGTAGACCCCTGTGAGCTTCTCTCCGTTCACGGGTGAAGCATCAATTGATTTTTGCTGCTTGTAACCAGCTACTGGGCTTTAGCAGACGAATCGGCGGATGCGCAAGACATGTTGTACTTCATTCAATCCAAGCTTATCCGCCGCTATGTTCCAACAGTACTACCGCCCAGAACTGAGCAGTCGAAAGAAATAATTATACTGTTGGATGTGCGGCTCTTGCTTAATTACCAACAACACCGTGACATCACTATCCGTCACGAGGACAACCTGGTGGCGAACCACATGCGTATGATTTACTGTATCCCAAACACTCGAGACTACCTTCGCTCCAGCTATTCATCCGAACCTATCCTGGCAGAGGCAGCCGCTAAAAACTTGGAGAAGTATAGCGAGGAATTTGAAGTGATTCTGGACGCCCTACAGGAGGCACATCAATCGGGTCTGCTAGACAAGGGAGCAATGGTTGGACTTGTCGCACGCTTGCTGCTCACCTTTGCGTATGATCGAGCTATTAGGGATATTTACCCCAAGCCCAGCGGTAGGCCACACTATAGTCGGGGCGTCAGGTTAATCGACTTCCTAAAGGCATTATTCTGCGAAACCTGGATCGACGCAATCATGCGGTGCACCCCAGACAATGTGTCTAGTAAAGTCACCTTAGAAGACATGTTCAAGGATTCCTACGTTCGTTTCACGCATTTCGGCAAGGTGACAGACGAGACTGGCACGACGACAGAGCGTGCGTGGCATGGCGATCATGATGCAAGATGATCGCCAAGACGTGGACATCATGATTCCTGTCCTCATGTGGAACAAAGAGCTTTGCGAATATGTCATGACTGCCATATGTATCCAAGTCAAGCAACGCATCCGCACAGGAGATCTCAACGCATACTCGATTGACCAGCGAGACATCAACTTATTTCCTGAAGACTGTATTTCCAAAGAAGTTCAGAGTGATGTTCGATCCGATCCCTACTTCGAATTCACCTTGGAGACACCTAGGGAGAAGTCTTGTGAGCCAGTGCGTCCTTACATTAGTCTAATCCTGGAGCTGGCTTTAGAGCCGCCGCCGCGCGTTCAAGTTGGGGATATGCTGCTAAGCCCAAGATTCACAGCAATCTTACCAGAAAGACTGTTTCAAGGACAGGACAGTCGGCTCAGAGTACTGAAGAGGGAGACCCACGTTCTCCTCCCACTAAAAAGTTCAAACCGGACCATTTAGATGCCCCTTCAAAGATATCCACAGACAAAGGACGGGAGGCTCGCTATTACCACGACCTTCATCCTCGTTACAACATCTTTGCTTACGGCTGCTCGAGTACCGTTTACAAAAAAGTTAATGAATCAATCAGATATGCCTTGATTAGACTTCTTCATACTCCTAGTTTCCTTGCGGAGCATCCTCGCGAGGACTCAAGATCACTCGACGCTGTTCGAAACATGAAGCCGTTTTGGAGTGCTGGAAGAGCGAGTTATCACTGGCTTCAAAGTGACCTGTTGAACCCTGTTGAGGAAGTGGACGCTGGTGAGGTAGATCGAGTAGAGGGCTTCGTCATTGCGGGCTCCATGGAGGACACTGATGCATTGGCCGCTGACGATGTGGCTGACCATGGCGAAGAGACTTGAATTATATGCATGTCTCCAGCTTCCCGAACGATGCTAATGTTTACACGGCCAGAGGTGTTAGACGGTGCCCCCCAGTTTTGTAAGTTTGTTGGCTTGAGTTTCAATGTCAATTATATCCATGTCAGACGAATTCGTGTAATTTGCGTCAGGTTTTCACTGCAGACCCAAGTCTATTTCTATAATTGGGTCGAGAAGTACTTTGAGCAATTTAATGGGCGAAGTTTGAACCCACTGACAGGGAGACTTGCAAGTCTGACCCCCCAATTCTATCTGAGGAGGTCTCTGGCCCTTACTTTTTACACAACTCGACCTTCTGAAAAAACGGCTGGTCAAGAAAAGGTCTATCATTGTAAATTCACAGCTCCAAAGTCTTAAAAGACCCATAACATCGCATCACACACCACAAGAAACGACGTCTGTTCATTCATTCTTGCAATACCGCTACGATGCAAGCTGGAGCTAAAGTAGGGACCGGGAAGAAGAACGACAGAGCTAGCTGCACATCGCAGAACACTGATCGGCGGATTAGAGTGTGATTATTGTGGCAGTAATATAGTGGATAGAAGGACCTTCCTGTGATTCATTTCAATTAGCTGTGCATGGCGTGCAAACTCTCGTAATAGCTCACCCGTATGATTACAACTCTCAAATCATCTACTAATATTTCTGACAACTCGTCAAGGTTAACCCTGTGTTCAACCTCGCCGATAACCTCGCGGTATGGAAGATAGGTTGTCACATCCTCTGTAAATGCATTTCCCGCTGATATAGTTGAGGGGGTTGTTACAACCCAGCCACGACTTCTCGCTCCTGAATTGTTCTGCTGTAGAAGATAGGGATTGAATTCACGCAGTCTCAGTCGAAACGAGGCAGGACTGTAGCCTACACGATAGACCGAGACGGTCTTACTGCCGAAAACTCCAAACCGCCAATCGCTGAGAAAGCACCGCGAGTTTTGTGGGCCCCAGGAAGCCCAAGGACGTATTGATGCACCAAAAGCGTTCGGTTGGGTCGAATATACCCCGCTTGAAGAGAAGAAGATTCGCATATCAATAAAGAAGATGTGACCGAATGTGATCGCACATGTTCGTTCCTGCGAATTGGGGTAGAATGGTAAAGGGTGCGACTCGAACCAACTGGCGTTCCAGGGAGGGGTAGGGAGATATGGAGTATTGCAAGATATGGTGCCACCGCCTTCAGCGGAGCAAACGAATTCCGGGCGCACATTTGGTAATGCATATCTCGCGATACACGTGAAACCCCGCTCGTTAAAAGAATACACTTCAAGCACGCCAGTTGCAAGGAGTACAAGAATAGCATCGACAGCCAAAAAGCAAAAATCTAGCATTTCAGGATTAACTAGTGTACGCTGTTTCATCACGAAGAAAATAGTTGGTTAGCTGGGGGTGGAGATAATTATCGAGGGCACTTACCCCTGTATCTCCTGATTCTTTCCAGTTCCACACTTCCAGCCGATGTCCACTGAAAGAATAGTCCGCACATACCAGAGGGAAAAACGCGACCACTGGACCCAGAATTCGGGATAAAGCTTGGACACTACCATCCGTCGACTAACACGCCCAACAGAAGAAATGGCGCGGTAGTGTCCTTCAAGCTTCAAGTTCAAACACTCGCCAGAGACTCTTAATAAATCTCTTAGCTGCACCGTTCAGCGCATGGTTATCTGTAATCTGTATGACCGTGGAACGTCCGACCCAGTGAGGACGTAATTCTGGTCCTCACCAAGGCCTAGTAAGGTTGCTAAATGCCAGTGAGAGAACAGAGAAAAGAGAATCGAAGGGCGCAACAACCTGAACGTTCCGAACTCCGACCCATGTTTCCCAACCCAGCGGTGTCAGGAATACACGAGTCTCCTACATCCAAGTACATGAAGTTCACTTCGCAAATTCATCAAGCTGAAGGGTTTGGCATGATTAAGAAAACATACCCATGCAAAAAAAGATACGGAAACCTCCCAAGGGTATAGATGCACGAACGTTGTTATAATGAAAAGGTAGGTAGTAGGGCACAGATAGCACGATCGCCAACGAGGGATATTCAGATTTGGGTTTGATGGGGGAGATAATCCGTACGTGAATTGTGTTTGGTTAGCACCTGGGTTAATTGCATATTCAGCAGGTATGAGTGAAGAATTTAATGCTGTGGCTTGGTTTAATGACGTCTTTCACGAATCCTGTCAATCAATGTGATGACGAGAAGCACTGGTGTGATGTATTCCAGTTGATGCTGGTATTGCTATGGTAGTAGGAGCGTTATTCGTGCACGGCGATCACCCAGACTCAGAAGATTCCGGGAGATCGTTTCAAAAATGGTATCATTTGCAAATTTAGATTTGTCTATTATAGTCGGTCTATTCTCAGCACTGATGTAAACTGTTTAGTGAAACGAGAAAGCAACGAGCAGATTAAACTACGCACCTCAATAATTTAACGGTGAAGATATATGTTATCAGACAGTAATTTGTCCGACGACGAGGTATGCATCTTTCTGCCCTGACCCAAGAGTCTTGTACGCGCCTCGTAGCTCTTTCTCAGTCCGTAAACCGAGGCGATGGTAAAATTCCTGTCCTGCCGTATTACTTGTCGCGACCTGCGCGACTATGACGGTTGCTGCGGGGATTGAGCGGGGAAAGACGTTGGGGGGCGAGGAGTGAGCTGAGGACGAGCAGAGACGGGAGGTGACCGAGCGGACGAGGGCGCGCGCGATACCCTGACGCTGATGAGAAGGGGAGACTCCCAGAGTTAGGATAGTGACAAGAGGAGCGGGCGTTTCTTTGTCAGGAGAGACGGGACATTTGTGCAAAGAGGGGAGTGGGAGGTCTTCTGTAGCGCGCTGAATGGCGGCGGAGACGAATGCGATGGGCGTGTTTGGAGAGGTCGTAGAATGGGCGATGAGGCATAGGCGTGTAGAGTTAACTAGGAGTTGGAGAAAAAAAGCAGGAGGGTATTTAACGGGCAGAAGAGCAGACTGGGCGGATCCGTCAGTACAAGATGTATATCTAGCTGGTCGTGTGGTCGCTACTTACATGAAGCTGGCATAACTGAGGGATGTCAGAAGCTTTCAAAGCTCGTATCTGTATATCTGGAGAAGACATTAGAACGGGGAGTTAAGCTAGGTGGTCCCGGGCATTCCGACCATGAAATAGATAGAGCAAGTCTATGGAAGACCCGAATATCACGGTTTCGGGTGATTGAGGGGGTACACAACGCAACGAGCCGCTGACTTTGAAAAGTCTATCGATAGCACATTGTCGGGTTGTCCCGAACATCCGCTTTTTTTGCCCGAGCGACCAAAAAGAAGATTTCGATGGCTATCGATCGGGTACTGGAAATGCCAAAAAACAAAACTAGCAGCAACTTGTTTCGATCAAGTGACCTCAGGGTTATGAGCCCTGCGCGCTTCCACTGCGCCATGCTGCTGTGATAATCCTCGTGACCTTGGCCTCATTGTGGCTGGAGGTACTTTGATGACAGAAAAGGAATCGAACTGGAGGTCGTGCCAAGGTCGTACAAGGAAATTAGAAAAGGAAATCGTGAAGCGTTTGATATCGCTGTAAGCTAGTTGAAGAACCGGACGCATACTCAGGAAAAGCGACAACGGCCTGCATCCATTATAACTCAGGTGATGCTGGAGGTGTGTCCTCGCTGTTTGAGATAACGACGCCAGTAACTGCCTAAGAAAGCTTCATAATCGAATGAAAATCAAGGCAGCGAAACAAACGTACACTATCAAGGCACATGTGTAGACCCGAGTCTTCCCACCTGGGCTAGTACGAGTTTACCATCATGATCGCAATGGGGGAGAGCTTGCGTTCCAGCTCCTTTCTAGATCTAACCTTGACCCTTATTGGCACGCGAAAAAGTTCTGGAGGGCGTCAATCTCTTTCGAAGAGCAGGCCCGATCGCTGAAATCCTCAAAGCAGCAGACGAAATTGAATTGTGTGTTTGGCCCCTGTAGTGGTCTTAGCGAACGGTGGTCTGCTTCAAGTTGTTTCCGACTCGACGACACGGAGTAGACTTGACTGCGTCTCCACGGTCGTTAGAGGACTGATAGAAATCTAGAACATCATCTTCAAGCTCATGGCTGAAACAGACGACGGGAAAGCCGCTCATGGTTTCAACTTGACTGTGGATGTTGAGGCCAAAGGCCTGCAGAGTGCACTTCATTGACCGTGACGGCACTAGTACGGAACACCACGTGAGGCGTGGGAGATCCATGTTCATTAAGGGATGTCAATATTGTCAATCCTCTGAGTCTCTTCAGTCGACACCCAGGAAATGCTCGACATCGAAGACGACGAAGAGAGGGAGCGCAGAATAGGTAGCATTTAAAAACACAATCTATCCGGCCAGCCCCAATTTTTAACCATCCAAACCCAGGCAACCTCCTCGAAAGATTAAACACATCCCCCCATTCCACAACACCGCGCTCAGAACCACCCTTGTCTTTTGATTTTGGCGAACGCAAGACTTTCCAAGTCGACCCTCCAGACGAGCGTGCGTTCTGTTCTCTTTTTCTTTTCTGATTCCTGGCGCTGGATCCTCATATCAACACTCATGTCACCCGAACAGTTCTAGCACGAATCAAAGACTTCTTACCTCGTCTTGAAGCAGAAAATGCTATCCTCGCCCAGCGCGCCCAAGCTGATCCTGAAAGTGTCGATATCGAGAATGTAGAAGACTCAGACCGATACATCGAGATGGTACGTCCCCCCACCCCCACCGCTTCCTCTCGTAATCTCTTCAACGCAGAACCTCGGTCTGGGAGTATTTGAAGACCGAAGTAAACGACCAGGGGAGTCTGAGACGCAGAGCAGCTCCAGTGAAGAAGACGGTACGTCTGACACGTCGTCTACGTCGACTTCGTCATCGTCATCGGACGAAGAACTCTCGGATAGCAGCTCAGATGAAGATGACAATGCATCGTCAAGGCCCGTTAAACCTCTTCCCAGTAGGACTACACGAAGGCCTCACATAGAGGTTTTACAAGACACTACCACCGGCTCATGAAGTACGATTATCATTATCAGTGCGTGTACGTTGACACTTTGTGGTATAGCCAAGCTGACAACTCTCTTCTACTAATATCAGTTGTCATATGCGGTTACAGTCCTTTCGACTTGGTTTCTACTGAATGAGATTGTTGACGTATTTGACCGGTAGTCACTCACAGTCGCATCGGTCATTATACTCTTGCTATCGCTATCCAGGTTTCGTCAGTTCAAGGCTAATCATTAATATTCCCTGCCTTTCATCAAGATACCAGCCATGCTTGTCGAGTATGTTATATAGATGTTGAAGAGAGTACCGACAAACTCGCCGCGGCTCCATCGACGAGGGAACACCTTTGGTACGCAGTCAAGGCCAAAGGACCTGGTGGTGGCACAGCGACATGCGTAAGGCCGAATATGAAGAAGGGAAGGAGGTGCTGGGCCTGAGAAATGTATCACTGGACCATATAGCATACCATAGTGTTAAATACTCTGAGATACACCTGCTTTTGGCTTTATTGGCAAGTCTGTCTGAATTCACTATCAATAGTTTTGGCAGTGCCCAAGTTACAGTTGTTAGATGCGCACTTATTCATCCAAAGATATCTATTTGTACAACGTTTATTAATTATCTCGATACATATTTCCCTGGCCTACAATTCTACTGTGGAGATAAGACAGTTATAAAAACAAATCAAAAAATACTCGAGGGAAACAAAACACTTGACGATCGACCATTGACATAATGCCCCTCTAACGCCACCCTATATCTACCCAGCTCCTTCAACAATTCAGTTGTTCAAATTCCTTCCCCGTCTTTACATTTAGTCCGCTAATGCCATCATCAGACCTTGGGACCAGCCATCCTAACGCTCTCCTGGACGTCGCCCTCGTACAATCTAAACGCCTTCTGGAACATACCAGCAAGCTTCCTCACCTCCCTCCCAAATGCTTCCTTGTCCGCCCACGCCAAGCTCGGGTTGAGCACCTCACGAGGGACACCTTCCAGCCCAGTGGGAATCGACAGTCCGAATACATCAAACGACTCGAAATCGGCTTTGAGGAGCTCGCCAGAATGGACAGCATCGACGATGCGGCGGGTGTATGCGAGTGGGCATCGCTTACCCGTGCCAAATTTGCCACCTGTCCATCCGGTGTTGATCAACCAGCAGTTAACATTATGCTTCGACATCCGGTCTGCCAACATCTCGGCATAACGTCCAGGCTGAATGGTATGATTTAGCAAAAAGGCATCAGAAGGATTATAGGAAAAACTCACGTGTAGGACAATGAAAGGTGCACTGTAGCAAGTCGAAAAAGTAGGAATAGGCTCCAAAACACCATCTTCAGTCCCAGGAGTTTTCCTACATCAACCAACCCGTTAGCCTAGATCCAAGACGCGTGATTGCAATCAAGACTACTTACGAAGTGTATCCCGCGAGGAAGTGATAGCTGGCCTGGTCAGGCGTCAACTTGCTCACTGGCGGCAGAACACCAAATGCGTCGCACGTGAGCATAATAATGTTACTCGGCTGCTGATCAACCATGCACGGAATTTTCGCATTGGGGATATACTCGATGGGGTATGCACAGCGAGTGTTCTCCGTAATGCCAACATCGTCATAGTCTGGGACACGCGTAGCAGGGTTATACACGACGTTCTCAAGGATCGAACCGAAACGGATGGCATTGTAAATCTCTGGTTCCTTTTCCGCGGAAAGGTTTATGCACTTGGCATAGCAGCCACCTTCGATGTTAAACACACCAGTGTCGGACCAGACGTGTTCGTCGTCGCCGATGAGAAGTCGGTGTGGGTCCGCGGATAGAGTCGTCTTCCCTGTTCCGGAAAGACCAAAGAAGAGTGTGACGTCACCCTTGTCCATACCCACATTTGCCGAAGAGTGGAGTGACAGCTGGCCGAACTTCACAGGCTGAAGATAGTGCTATGGCAAGCCAACGAATTAGTACAGATTGCATCAATGACCTGAATGGGAGACATACCATCACCGAGAAGACGCCCTTCTTCATCTCTCCAGCGTACTCTGTTCCGAGGATGACCATTTCCATCCGCTTGAAGTTGATCTCGACGGACGTCGTCGAGCTCATGCCCTTGGTAAACCGATTGGCAGGGAACTGGCCGGCATTGTAAATGATGAAATCGGGTTCACCAAAGTTTGCGAGCTCCTCTTCGGTAGGACGGATAAGCATGTTGTTCTGTAAATAGATCAAGGTGAGTCATTGGAGAATCACGGATGTAAAATAACGGTACACACCATGAAAAGAGCATGGTAAGCCCTGGCACAGATTACTCGGACCTTAATACGGTATTTTGGGTCCCACTACACAAAATCAATATGGGATCAACTGACAGGCGATGAAGAAACTTACGCCGGCGAAGCCGTCGAAAACGTAAACGTTATCGCGGGTATTCAGGTAATCGATTGCACGTTCACGGTTGATTTCAAAAGTGTCTGCAAGCGATAAGTTGAGATGGTGTTATAGCAGGGATAATACCTACGTTCGTCCATCTTGATGTTTACGGAGCCCCACCAAATATCATCCTTGCTCGTTTCTTCGTAAACGATTCGCTTGTCCTTGGGACTTCTGCCAGTCTTCTTGCCCGAAAAGTTGATGAGTGCTCCCGAGGACGAGATGATAGCGCCTTCGTTTCTGACGGCGTCTTCGTAGAGCTGAGCGACGGGTGCGTTGCGTTTGAGATGGATCTTGTCCATGTCAAAGCCCGCCTGGGAGAAGTACTCAAGATCACGACCTATGACTACTTGGAAATGCCCATAAGTATCTCTACATAGAGCAAAGAGGAAGAGAACACACGATGACCGAAAGCGTCTGCATCGTACTCCTGGGCATAGTTTCTGTGGAGGATGTGGGGTGTGACATAGGGAGTTTGGTGAGGAAGAACCATTTTATGTGGGGTCTGGGGAAGGAAGAGTCAGAAATCAAGAAGTAAGGTTTTTAAGAACTGAGAAATGTGGGGCAGGGACAAGATCCGAGTGAAATAGAAAAAATGAGGGGTGGCTATGGTGCGACCCTGCACTGGTCGAGTCACAAAAGTGCAGAAAGGTAGCTACGACGAGAACGGACGCATATAACGTACCCTTGGGCGACGAGGATGATGGAGAGAAAGAGAAAGAGGATGTGAGGGGAAAAGATGTGGAATGGAATGAAGGTTGGTATTGTGTTGTTTTATACTAGCGGCAAGCCACTGCCGTAGCATCCCATAATCTCCCGATAGCTCACGTCCGTATATACTTTCCGGTTCCTCTGTCAACGGTTTCTGCTTCACCAAACGTCATTATAGTTTTTTTCGAATGGAGCGAGAGACCAACACTGGATACAGAATCACACTCTTTTGCTATCTCGTGGCCTCCCACCGGTTCACTCCGATACCCCGTTTGCGGGACACCGAACGGAACAAATAGAGTAATGGGTGGCTTTACTGCTGTCTGATCTGACGCCTTGGAGTGGGCTGTCGGGCACAGGAACTGGCTGGAGGACGCAGGAGACAAGCAATACAGTCCACTGCAATCGCCTGTGAGCAAACCCTTGCCAGCTGCGATTGACTCTCATGCGTCCACTGGGTCCGGCGGCCACTCGTTCTGGGGCATGCATCTCCAACCTGCTATTCTGGGTTTATCACATGGCTACAACATACAGGAGCTGGACCTGATGCTCGGCATCCAACTACGATGGTCACAACTGAGGAAACGACATAGTACATGCGCATACATGCATGAAAGTGAGTCTACAAATGCTTTAAATTTAATATGTAGTATCGAATGACTGCACAGGTGGTAAATCATACCGTAACTCGCTTACTGCCAACGTACCATCTGACCATATACTTTACACTGTTGCCGAGTGCCTCGATCTCACCGCTTCAAGAATCACCCTTGGATTGTTCAAATGTTCTCCAGTCGAAGCATCTCATATCACGACACAGGTCGATCGCAATCCAGGCACCGTATCTGTTTCAAGTACAGTTGCATTTCGCCCTGTCCATATCATGATTTGGGGTGTTCTGATGTTGAACACATAGCATATAGCCAGTGCTTGTTCAAGTGCTTGTTCATGTACAGCCGACGTTACTGTTCTCCAACCGCAAGGATCAAGCTCCGGTACCCCTACTGTCAATCATCGGGTTACACTCGCCTTCAAGAGCCGTCGTCTCGACCGGCGTTAGCAGTGAACTTGACATTCACCTATAGGCATGTTCGCATTCAGCTCTACAGCGGTGATACCGTGATATTCTTTATTGGGCGCGAAACACGATACCGGTGAAAATAATCCACATCTCTCTCGAAAGATTCCCATTTGCTAGGACTGCATACCATGCCAGGCCATGGGATCGCTCCTGATCTATCACAAGCAAACGACATATTCTTATCCACAATCCTCCTACGATAACCTCCCTGCCCTGCGAAACGGCAACCCTTAATCGTAAGCATAATTTACATCGAAATTATTCCTCATGCTAAGAACACCTTCTACCATCTCCTGTATGTTCCGACTCAACGTCGATATTCATATCACTCAACTGCCCGGCCCGCCGTGACGGCTGCCCCACCAGAGGCTAGTTCAAACACACCTGACACGATAACATCCCGGTTCTCGATCTCATAGCTCAGGCATGTATACGAAGATAATTATCCTGATAAATTTACAATGACAGGATAAGCTCAGTGGAGATGGGTATAGGTAAAAGGGGAATCAGAAATAAATAAGAATAATAGTTACACTACTCTAGGACTGGGACACGAAGACTTTATCGAAGTAACGCACCATACCTTCTGCTCCATGTACGATAGCCCCCGCCACACCATCCGGTCTCACCACCACGACTCTCGTCTCGTCTCCTACCAGGTAGTGCTTGTATGCATACCCCTCCTTGTCTTCCAAAACGACGTCTGCAGCAGAGTCCGCTTGGGTGGACAACCCAGCAGGGAGCACGATGACGGAGCGCAAAACGTTCTGCTCGTAGCGGCGAAGCTCCGAGATAATGTGAGCCGCCTTGGCAGCGTCCGAAGTAAAGACAAGGATCGTATGGAGGTGCGGACGGAAAATATCAAAAAACCGCACATTCCTGCCACTGTTCACATCCACCAGACCAGGTGCATCCGGTGCGCGATCACCAGCCTGCAGCGACCCATCCTGGATGAGCCCGTACGCATCTATAGGCTTAACATCAGATGGAGGTATCACTTCGTCAAGGACGATTGGGCTGCTGCGGTAATTCACACCGAGCATGTATAGCCTCTGATTGCGCTCAAATACCTCTTCCTTGTTGGAATCACGCGCCATTGTTTTCTTCAGCAGGGCGGTAGTGATGTCGAGCATTTCGGCGATGACGGGGAGGCGCTCTGTGGTGTAGGAGTCGAGGAGCGAGGCTGGAGCGAGGCCTTTGTGGACCAGTGCGAGTTTCCAGGCGAGGTTGAGCTGTAGAGTTGTGAGCTATAGGTCATACGGGAGTAAGTAACTTATACTTGCAGCATCCTGAACACTTGAGTTGAGTCCCTGGCCACCGGTAGGGCTATGGACACTGGATAAATGTCAGAAAGTTATATTAACGATAGAGAAAGATGGCACGAACTGTGCAGCATCTGCAGCAACGAGGTTATATTAACAGCCAAGCTCGTGATGCAAGATCATACACCTTACCTCCTGATACGAAAACCCTGCCTTCTCCAAACCTGTTCACCATTCGGATATTAGCCCTAATATAAACAGCGATCAGGAACATGATATATATGGAGTGCAGATCCAATACAAACCGGAATTCAGAAACCCAGATCAGCTCCTCGAAGGTGAGATTAGTTGGGACCAACGAAGCGATATGTTTGTAGACTTCGTCCGCGCTTGATTTCACTACGGGATAGTCGACAGTCGACTCAGACATAGTAAATTGATAACCGTCGGGGTCGATCTCCTCTGTGGGTCGTATGATAATACTGAAACAGTCCATTGTTATTGGTATGGTGCCTACAATGTTTAAAACCTAATGAATACGCACAAATTTGTTTGCGACTCGCCAAAAACATGCCAGTGCTATCGTTCAACGCTCAAGTCAAATATCAGGACAAATAAATATAGCACAAACCTCATGGTCAAGGCCTTTTAAACGGATGTCTCCAGTGATCAATCGCATGTCCTTGGTTTCTCCAAGGAATGTCAATCCAAGTTGTTTACGGACGACGCCTGCAAATCAAGTGTAAATATAGACTTAATTCAAAGCCGTAAAGAGACACGTACCTTTCGCCCCATCAGCTCCGATGAGCCATTTCGCTTTGATCGTCTCTTGTATTTCTTCGCCATCTCGTTTCTTCACTACATGTGCGACCACATGATCGGGGAACTGTTCGAATGAGCGGAGCTCCGTGCCAGTTTCTACAAAGCACGACAGCTTCTCGAGATGTGCGCGCAAGATCCCTTCGAGAGTTTGCTGTCCTAGCATACAAGGGTTGAACTACAGATCGTGTTTTCATTAGAGTTGAAGGTGATTACATAGAGACATACGCACATAAGGAAAAGCAGGAGTTGGATCCTGGTACGGTGACATGGGGAAAGTCTTGAGAGGTTCGACAGTGCCAGGTTTGTAGGTGCGCATGAAGGGCATTGGCTTCGCGGTCTGGTCGACTTCGGGGACATCAAGGAAATGAAACAATTCCAGCGAGCGAGGCTTAGAGGAATTATGGTTTAGGACGTGCGCTAGATTGTGACTGGTTGTAAACATACGAATAATCCGGCACCTCGTTGTCCAAGGCGATGTTCATCCTCTTTCTCGATGATGCGGATAGATATGCCATTTTGGAGCAGGGTGAGAGCTGCGACTAGCGCTGAAGGACCAGCACCGGCCTTCAAATGAAAGCTTTAGGGTGGAGAGCCTGTACGAAGATCAACACTCACGATGAGGACAGGGACTGCATCAGTTGCAGTCATTGTTATTGATGATGTGAATCAAGCAAGTGCGATATTTGGTGAACCCAGGTAAACGATATCTTTATCGGACGATAATGGAGTCTTTGAGAGCCTTTATACAAAGTGTGTCGCCACGACATCCGAGTCATAAACATTGTTAGCACGAGAGGAGTACATTCGGAGGTACTATGGCCGATGTGACTCGAGCACACTTGTATTCGTGCCGACAAGATTTCTGTAGTGACTTTTACATCCAAAGCTGATGTATCTGCCATGCCGCATTGTTGCGCTGGTCAGTATCGCAAACTGGTGCATTGGACAATCCTGCTTATGTCACAAAATCTGTGCGTGTATCTGGCGTTTGTTCCTGTAGGTTACCAGGTTTTACTAGGCTCGTACCCAGCCATATCGCTGGGTTTAATTTCACTACACCGCCGTCACAGTCTCAACAGGCTGGGATCACTCATCCCCCTTTTGTGAGGTGGATGAAATCCACACGAAAGATGACTAGGGGACTTAGTTGTAGGGCTTGAAAAATGTTACTAGTACATCACTTTTCATATAGACAACTTTTTGTGAAAATTTTGGTGTTTGATGGCAATGACAACTTTGAGCTGAATATTTGTGAAATATATATATATACAAAATTTGCTCTGCTTGTTACAAAAATTATTTTCTGTATACTAACTTAAACACCTATTTTTTTTACACTTTTTAAGCCCTACAACAAAGTCCCCAAGTATGGTGGGCAAGAAGGATCAGGTTGCCATTTCAAGGTTTGGGGTTTTAAGGATTCCTCGGTTGCACTAAACCTGGGTTCGTTAGGTCACATATCCAAGGTTCGGCTCCATTCTTGCTTGCCACATAGCTCCATTGTTGCCTTCAGTCTTTACCCTCATGGCTGATGGCAAGGGAGTGGCAGAAATGCTCTCAGTGGCAGATACTGATGCTGTGGCATCTTTTGTTCCCAATCCTAAGGGGAAGCATCAGCACAAACATTTTCGTGAGTGTTTGCCAGTTGCTAGGATCCAATCACTTAATATATGTAACTTAGCTTTGGCAGATGATGTGACAACACCAACAAGACACAGTCTTGAGGCACCGTGAGGCAACATTAAACTATAACAAAAACAATACCCGTCTCCAACTGCACTTGCAGGGAGTAAGAGGTACTATGAGTTTGAGGTCAACAGATTTTAGAGGATCTAGCAAATAACGAGAAGGCTCAGAGTTCAGAGGAAGCTCTGATGAGTTTATAAAGACGGTAAGTACCTAGCAAATAACGAGAAGGCTAAATACTAATGTAAGCTAGGTACAACAATATTATAATAATGGGTATCTCACCTCAGAGTTTGGAGGAAGCTCTGAGGTGCCCTATCAGCAAAAAAAGTTACTATATATCTGAGGACGGAACCATATAAGATATTGGTATCTGATGGCGCACAGGCCACTTCATATACTAGGCCTACCTAGTTTGGCAATTTTGCCACTTCTCCTCTTCGTGCAAAGCTTGCTTCTGTTACAAACTATGTTCCCTATAGACTTTATTTCTTCTCAGAGTAGCTACCTACCACTACTCATTCATATCTTCCCACACTTGTTACCTATTATGGTCTCACCCATCATTGTTTGCTCAACACAAACACCTACCCTAAAGTAGACAGTATATATACATGCCTGTATTGTAGTTACATCTCCAATACGATTGTACGCTTCAACAGTGCAGCTTGGTATTCATCAGTAAATCCTCATCATCAGAATATGTCTCAAACCCATAAACCACTGCTAGAAACCCCCTTGTTACCAGGCTTGTACATTCCAAGCGTAACAAAATGATTGTATTCCATATCATCATCCCACACTATTTAGCGAAGGGATGAAAAAGATGACAAAATATTGCAAGGAAGAAGGCCCACTACCAGGGCACAGACCAGAGCAGAACCTACTCAAATGGCAACACCCCCAGTATCGTCAAGACAGGGAAGAACAGCAGCACCACCCCCCTTTGCCCAACCCGACGTCACCAGACTCCATACCAGAGAACAAGTAGACACATTCTACAAAACCAGAGCACATTGGTTACAGTATTATGCAAGAAGCCACCCACAGCTAATACCCAGAACCCAACACGATCCCCAGTAACAGAATCAGAAATCTACGACGAAAACAATTTTGAAGAATTTACAGCAGACAACCAACTAATACCACCTCCCATGCCACAGATACTTCCCACAGCACCTAATCCATCTCCCGTCCCACCAACAAGCACCATGTCCAACACTGCTGCACCCAAACCCACCAAGTTTTGACAAATAGATGATTTCAATGGAATGCCGGACCAGGCCAATGGATGGATGTTGTCAGCCAAAGCATACTTTGACGTAAATGATGCCATCTATGAATCTGACAAAAAGAAGGTCTTTGAAGCACTCTCCCACATGAAAGAAGGAGTAGCCCTTGCGTGGAAAGAAACCAAATTAACGGAATACACAGGATCGGGCAAATACCCAAAATGGACGGACTTTGAAACCGACTTTAATGGAACATTTATTACTGCAGACGTAAAAGGCGCGGCCGGTGCGGCCCTCATGACAATTAAATTGGAGACAGGAGAAACGGCAGTAAAATTCAATGCCCGTTCCATGGTAGAAGCGGGGAAAAGCGGCTTAAATGACGAAGGACTAATCATGGTCTACAAGAGTTCTATACGCCCATACCTCCTTCAAAATGTACTTAACTCCTCCACATAACCCAAAAATATCGCAGGATGGATGAGCACTGTCACAGGCCTAGACACCAACTGGACGAACTCAAACAGTATCAGCGAAAGGAAATGGGGAAAGAAAGGAGAAAAGAAGAGAGAAGAGAAGAGCAGAAGAAGTCAATCATCCTCGGCAAAATGTTTAACCAAGGACAAAGAAGACGCACTCAAACGAGAAGGGCAATGCTTTATATGCAAAGAACAGGGACAAATCTTGCGGTCCTGCCCGGAAAAGAAGAAAGGGAAACAACCGGAACGGAAAATTTGTACCGCAGAAATTACAGGAAAGGACAAAACAGAAACTGTGGTGGAGGATGGAAAAGGAATTTCCCACATCCTCAGAATGTGGAAAGAACTCGGAGAAGAAGATTGCGCCACTGCCATTGACAAATTAGAAAACAAGGGTTTTTGAAAGGATGATCCACCCCAATGTTGGTACCGTCCAAAATAGCTGTTGTAACCATAGCCACGATTAATTCAAACTCATTACAAACTGACACCACGTTACAACAAAAAACCATTGGAACCAAAGCACTCATAGACTCAGGGGCGACAGACAACTTTATGGATACAAAGTTTGCAATTAAACACTGCCTACCCCTTAACGAACTCGACGTACCCATCACATGCAAGAATGTAAATGGAACCATCAGCAACGGAGGAAAGATCACCCACTACACCTATCAACGGATAGAAGCAGGAGGAAGGAACACCATGTGTAAATTCCTTGTCACCGGATTAGGAGGAGAAGACATTCTCCTTGGATACCCATGGCTTCACAAGGTCAACCCTACTATAGCCTGGACATCCAAGAGCGTGGATACCCAACATGCCATTCACACAATCTGATCCCACTCCAACCAATCCAAAATTCACAATATCACAATTGATCAACCGGAGCTATTAATCAACTACATACATGAAACTTGGATTTTTGCAAAAACTAACACTGCTATGGAGTTAGTAATCCAAAATAATGTCGGTGTCATGCACCAAAGTTTATTGTAGCATGGACAGGTGTCAATAACAAAGCGAATATTCAAAAAGACTCGCCTTTGCGCCACACAGGCACAGTGCCACGTGGAATAGCAATCCAGTCACGCTCACCTTTGCTTTTCCATTCGTGTCACGACTTGAGCCAGAGCACTAGTTAGAGCGCTAATTTCATTTTCATTTTCTTTGTTATCTGATCACATGACAGACATAAGTTGTTAAGCTGCTGCTATTAGCGCGGATAACACAAGTACCTAGTTAGATCCAATCACTTGACAATCACGTGATCTAGACCATGACGTAGAACATCAGTCAGCGCCTCATGGCTACTGCATGTTATATCAGTCAGCACCTCATGGCTGACCTTCAGAAACATATATATACTGAACACTCATGTACATACTTTTCTTTAGTTGTTGATTACCTCTTAACATTGATACTTGACGCTACTTGTTTGATTTAAGACTTATCCCTCCGTTAGTTCGGTAAAAGGGATAGGGCTTTACACAATCAACAACTAACACGAGTACCGTCTATGAACGTAACAACGACTATCCTCATCACCATTATCATCTTCATCATCATCATCTTCATAATCCTAACCTTGTTCAAACACCCTCACCAAACCGCTACCACTATCCCACTCCACCACATCCCCACTCGCCCTGATACCATTCTATCCTTCTTCCCTGCCAACGTATCACCCTCCTCCTCCCAAGACTCCTTTGTCACAATTCCCCTCTAGCTACATTATATCACTATAATTTCTCTGGTGTGGAACCAGGGAGATTTTCTCGTTTTTACCTAGTTTCTATTTCGCATACCTCTAACCAGGCCGCACATTTGTGTCCACCAGTTGGAGAGGAACTGACAGCTTAACAAGCGGGTTACATTGGGACAACCGTTCGGACCCCAATTTATTATGAATACCTTTTACCTACATTCTTAGACACACATTACCTAGTTACGTACACAATCAGTGGTGGACAGAAGAGGACCACCTTGATTCAAAGAGGAAGATAGACTACTTAGAACTTAGAAAAAGGTGTATTGATCCAGCTTATCACTGGGGAATTCCTTTCTATGCTAAGTAGAGAATTGTATATCTGGATAGGAGAACAACGCGTCTACTCCAGAGATTACGTATTTAGAGGACAATTTCCTCTGCCAGAAATAACACAACTCAGAATCCCATCTCCCGTGATCAAACAAGAAACTCCCCCTCCTCCCCAACTCACATTCAATGTCAAACCTAGAATATCGAGATCTGCCCGAGCCATCCAACAGCACGGACAGCGCCTTTACCAGGGAAATGATGGACTCATTACCCAGAATAGAAACTCCCCCGCCGAGAGAAGCATCATTAGAAGCATACGTAAAACGAGAAGTAGAAAAAGCAATCAAAGAAACGAGGCTTCTATATCAATCCCAACTCGACGAGGCACTTGAAGAAGTGAGCGTCTTAGAAAGAAGGCTCAAAAAGAAGGCATTGCCACCTCCGGAAAAGGTGGAAAGAAGTAGAACAGCATTAGAAAAACCAGAGAATTTCTCCGGAGATAAGAAAAAGTACAGGGCCTTTAAAGAATCCTTACTTCTTCACTTCGAAGACGATGCCGTTTATTTTGAGGATGACAGAAAAAAGATCAGCTTCGTGCTGTCTTTCATGAAAGAAGGAGAAGCCGTGGCCTTTCAGACCGATTGGCTAGAGAATAGGGTTGATGCCCAACAGTTAGGGTTCAACATTACGCACACATACGGAAGTTGGCCGTACTTTGCCGATAAAATGGAACAGAGATTCAAAGACAGTTTTGAAAAAGAAACTGCAAAGAACGAAATATTGACCTTAAAACAAGGCAATGAAACCGCCCAAGCCTTTTTTGAAAGGTTTGAAGAAAAGAAAAGATGGGCGGGATATACAAACCAAATGAATGAAGAGTTCTTAATCTCCCTATTAAGGAGAAACATGAATAAACCGCTAGTAGACAGGGTGATCTATGGTGGACACATTCCTAAAGATTACCAGGAATGGAAGAAAAAACTCATCAGAATGGACTACATTTGGAGAGAAAGAGAAAAAGAGAAGAAAGGTTCCGAAACCGGAAGGAAACCTTATTCAGAACAAAAGAAAGAAGGAGAAAAGAAGAAAGATGGAACCGGATATACTTATACCGGTAACGGAGAACAAATGGAGGTAGATAAAGCGAAATTCCGCACTGAGGGACGATGCTACCGATGCGGAGAGAAAGGACATAGAAGCTTTGAGTGCAAAGACGCACAAAAAAAGAAGCCGCAATTTAATGTCCGTGAATTCCTAGAGAAGATGACGAAAGAGGAAAGAGAAAAACTCCTAGAGGGTTTTTAAAGAGGCCAGCGGTACCGCATCAACCGGCTGAGCCTAAAAGAGACGTTTCAAATCGATTTCTTCCTTTATCTGTAGATATGTACGAACCAGAATTGTTAAGCTGCAGCTTTAGCACGGATAACAATAAAATTATTTCCACCCAGACAAAGAAAGAAATCAGAAACGAAAAAGATGCAACCAAAGTAAATGCGGCGCAGAATGATAAGACATCCGCAGTTCCGACGGCGGGCAAATCATTAAAAAGTGCAGCATTTACGATAGATACTAAAAATCCTACACCCGATGCGGTGAACTCTACGGAGGAAAACGCAGCAGAGACTGTAGAAGAAAGGTCAGGAACCCCTTTAAAAAAACCTAGAACAGAAGTTTGGACCCCAGAGTGGGTAGTAGACAGACTAAGAGACCAAAAGGAAGAAAGATCCATTGGGATTCTGAGTGCCTGGACACACAAAAAGAGAACTAGAGAAGTAACCCGGGAAACGATAAATGAAATCAACCGGTTACCAAAAATAGAAGCTATACAAGCAATCATAGAGATTGCCTCCCCTAAAAAGTACATTAGGGGCACCCAAGGCAATCAAATGAACGTAAAATGTAAGCTTACTACATTAGACACTCTCCAAACAGAAACAGTCGAAGCACTATTGGATAGTGGATGCACGGGGAGTTGCATCGACTCCCAATTTGTTAAAGACAAAGGATATGAGACAAGGAAGATACCGATACCTATTCCAGTTTATAATGCAGATGGAACTCTTAATAAGAACGGAGCCATCAATGAATTTGTAATACTACTCATGGACATCGACGGTCACATCGAAAAGATACATCTCGCCGTAACCAATCTGGGTAACGGGAGAATGTTCCTAGGACATGAGTGGTTGAACAAACACAATCCAAAAATAGACTGGAAGGAGTCAAAGTTAACCTTTGAAAGATGTCCCAAAGAATGCAGACCAAGAATCCGAATCTCTGACCCAGAGGAGGATCCGGAAATATTCTTCGAAGAACTGGGAGAAGACGAGAGGATGATACAAGTAAATCTCCAGAATTTCGAAGATGCCACGATCGACGATCAGTACTATCACATTAGAGCCCAAGGCACAATGGCACAGAAACTAGCAGAAGCCGCAGGCAAAGATCAAAAAGAAGGAGGATTCGAAAAGATAGTGCCAAGACACCTTCATCAATACAAAGATGTATTTGATAAAAAGGAATTTGACACCTTGCCTGAAAGGAGACAATGGGATCACGCAATTGAACTAGTACCAGGAGATCACTCCCTAGATTGCAAGATCTACCCATTAGCAAGGGGAGAACAAGAGGAACTAGATGCATTCCTAAAAGAAAATCTGAAATCAGGATGGATAAGACCATCGAAGTCCCCATTTGCATCACCCTTCTTCTTCATAAAAAAGAAAGACGGAAAGTTAAGACCGGTTCAAGATTATAGGAAGCTAAACGATATTACTATCAAAAATAGATATCCGCTTCCGTTAATCGGAGAACTAGTAGACAAATTAAGTGGAGCTAGATACTTCACGAAACTAGACGTAAGATGGGGGTATAACAATATCCGAATGAGAGAAGGGGATGAGCATAAAGCGGTGTTCAGAACAAATCGGGGGTTATTTGAACCATTAGTCATGTTCTTCGGACTGACAAATTCCCCCGCCACATTCCAAACAATGATGAACACCCTTTTTAAGGAATTGATAGACGAGGGACTGGTGATCATATATCTGGATGATATTATGATATTTACAAAGGATATAGAAATGCACAGAGCAACAACGCGACGTGTATTAGAAATCCTTAGAAAGAACCATCTCTATCTTAAACCAGAAAAATGCGATTTCGAACAAACAGAAGTAGAATACCTGGGACTGATCATCTCAGAAAACGAAATTCGCATGGACCCGGTGAAAGTAGAAGGAATTAGCAAATGGCCAGAATGCAAAAATAAAAAAGACATACAGGCGTTCTTAGGCTTTGTAAATTTCTATAGGAGGTTCATAGAAGGCTTCGGGGAAGTAGCCAAACCGTTGACCAAGTTAACGGGAAAAGAGGACTTCATTTGGGGAAATGAACAACGCGAAGCATTTGACACATTGAAACAACGCGTAGCTTCAGCCCCGGTGTTAGCTCTCCTAGTACCACATGGCCAATACAAAGTAGAAGCAGACAGTAGTGACTTCGCTATGGGTGCTGTCTTATCACAAAGACAAAAGGATGACTGGAAGCCAATTGCATACCTCTCCAAAGTGTTGAATCCCACAGAACGCAATTACGAGATCTATGACAAAGAACTTCTTGCCATCATGACGGCACTTAATGAATGGAGACACTATTTGATAGATGCGGAAGAAGAGTTTGAGATATGGACAGATCATCAAAATCTGTTATATTTCAAAGAACCAAGGAAGTTGAACAGGAGACAGGCACGGTGGATGACGGAGTTGAGTCAGTATCATTTCACGATACATCATATGCCGGGGAGAAAGCATATAAAAGCAGATTTACTTTCGAGACGATCAGATCACAACAAAGGGGAAAACGACAATGAAGACGTCGTACTGCTAGACGAGAAATTGTTTGTGAGGATGACTCTCTCATCAGAACAGAGGCAAAAAATTGCAGACAGTCAGGAACGAGAGCTGGAGATTTCAAAATGGATCTCAAAGAGGAGAGGAAACGTGGATGACTTGATAAAAAAGATGAAAGGAAAGATAGAGAGGAGAGAAGATGGATGGTTTGACGAAGACGGTTGCATAGTATTCAAAGGCAGGATCTATGCGTTAAGGGAAGAAATTATTAGACGAAACCATGACTCTACCGTTGCAGGCCATCCAGGAAGATATAAAACGAAAGAGCTAATCACTCGACAATACTGGTGGCCCTATATGGACAGAGATATCACGAGATACGTCGATGGATGCGAGGTCTGCCAAAGAACCAAGACAGACCATAAAAAGAAAGCAGCACCGCTCCATCCGAACGAGATCCCGGATAAACCTTGGCAGATCATATCGGTAGATCTGATCGGACCACTACCAGAATCAAATGGGTATAACATGATAATGGTAGTAGTAGATTGATTTACAAAAATGATCAAGGTAATTCCCACGCAGATGAAAATCACATCAGAAGGAGTAGCACAACTGTTTAGAGATCACATATTTAGAAACCACGGCATACCCAAAAAGATCATCTCGGATCGGGGACCGCAGTTCGTTTCTAAATTTATGAAAGATCTACACACACTTCTTCAGATAAAGGCAAACCCATCAACGGCATGGCACCCACAAATGGATGGACAAACAGAGAGGATCAACCAAGAGATAGAGCAGTATCTCAGAATCTTCGTAAACCACAAACAAGATGATTGGGCAGAATGGCTTACCCTAGCAGAATTCTCTTATAACAACAAACAACATTCTGCGACGGGATACAGCCCGTTCTACTTGAATCAAGGACACCATCCAAGAACACAGGAAGTAGTGAGAGTGGAAGTAAAGAACGAAAAAGCGGAGGATTTTGTAAAAAGGATGACAGAAACGAGGAAGAAAGCAGAGAAGTCGTTGCAAAAAGCAGCCGAACAGATGAAGAAGCAGTATGATAAGAAAAAGAGAGAAGCAGTGGAATATAGAGTAGGAGATAAGGTGTATGTAGAAGCAACCAATATCTCGACAGATCGACCAGCCAAGAAACTAGACGATAAGAGACATGGTCCGTTCGAGATACTGGAAAAAATAGGCGAATCGGCCTATAAACTTGCACTGCCACCGACATGGCAACCTATTCACCCAGTCTTCAATGAGATAAAACTCACACCGTACAAAGAACCACAATTCCCTTCTCAACAAAAACCTAAACCGATACCGCCGGTAATAGTAGACGGACAAGAAGAATATGAAGTCGAAGAAGTTCTAGACTCGCGTCTAAAAAGAGGAAAATTGGAATACTTAGTACATTGGAAGAATTATCCAAAAGAGGAACGCACGTGGGAACCCGAACAACACCTAACCAACTCACCAGATAAAGTAAAAACATTCCACGATAACAACCCTAGCGCACCTCGACGAATACGATTTCAACTACAATTCCAACCTTTTGAAAACTTCACAACAACAAGAGTCAGGAAACAATTGTTCAATTGGGAAAACGGAAAGATGGACCCCTACTTTCGAGACGAAAGTCTTAAAGAGGGGGTAATGTCACGACTTGAGCCAGAGCGCTAGTTAGAGCGCTAATTTCATTTTCATTTTCTTTGTTATCTGATCACATGACAGACATAAGTTGTTAAGCTGCTGCTATTAGCGCGGATAACACAAGTACCTAGTTAGATCCAATCACGTGACAATCACGTGACAGAATCTAGACCATGACGTAGAACATCAGTCAGCGCCTCATGGCTACTGCATGTTATATCAGTCAGCACCTCATGGCTGACCTTCAGAAACATATATATACTGAACACTCATGTACATACTTTTCTTTAGTTGTTGATTACCTCTTAACATTGATACTTGACACTACTTGTTTGATTTAAGACTTATCCCTCTGTTAGTTCGGTAAAGGGGATAGGGCTTTACAATTCGGTACTTTCCGCGTTTCGGCATTTTGGCAAATTTTTGCGTCGCCACTGGCTACACATTGCATTGCGCCCTCGCTTTTGTTGTTTCCCTTACTCCCCTTCCTTTGCCTAGCCCCACCATGGGCCCCTTCCTCTCCTTTTTATTCTCACCTGACGGTCGTTTCTGGATCCCCATTCTAATCCACTTTTTCGTCACCTCCACCCTCCTCCTCCTCATCTTATTTGCACCCCCACCATTTCTGATGTCACCACTTCCTATCCGCTTCCGTTGCCGATCCGTTGACTACCACGTGCCACTGCTGATATCAGCAAAGCCCCGGCGGCCGGTTCAAATAGGGCAACAGGTCCATCTTTATGACGTTGATCTACCATCATATACTATCAAAACATCGGTCGCTCGTCT